GGGGGGGGGGGGGGGGAAATTGAAGAAGTATTTTACCTCTAGTGCAACTGCATGAATGCAGGCGAAAGGTTACCTAAACTGGATTAAGAGCTTTCCATAGCTTGTACATTCAAGGTTTAAGGAGCTAATACATTTGACTACTACAAGTAATAAAGCCGGAAATAGGACACACAAAATTTTATAACTTTGAGAATTTTTTCAAACCTTTCGTTTCGGCAAGCACAGAAAGCTGATTTAGAGACTGAGCCATCATTTCAGCTCATTCTAGGGATATATGTTCGGGAACAAGGTCACTTCACTTAAACCAAGCTCCGTGATTAAGAAGTTAGCAAGCGACTATTCAAAACTAATCCATCGTAGAGACCCTCACGAAACCGATGTTCTTGTAAGAGAAAAGTGATAATTAAAACGCAGCGTGCAGATAAACTCAAAACAAAGTACTCCCCTCTCTAATATTTCTCCAACTCTAAAAGCCCCTCTCTTTTGGCAACAAGTACGAAATGAGAGAGAGAGGAAGAGAGAGAGGAGAAACTACACTGGTAGCTAACTCACTTGCTGGCTAGATTAGGCGAACGGAGCAATTGTGCGTGCGTTATGGCAACAAAAAAACACATCCGCCAAACATCATCATCACACCTCTCTCTCTCTCTTCCCTCTAAAATAGTTGCTGCTGAAAGCCCGTATTAATTATTAAATTGGTTTGGAGCGTTGCAAACCCATTCACTAACTCAGAGTGTGAGAGAGAGAGAAGGATTGGGAGAAAGAGCCTCACTCGGTCTAATGTGTCTCCCCAATCGACCCCCCCCCCCCCCCCTCCCCCCCCCCACCGAACCTCACTCAAATTTAAGGTTTTTTAGTAAACTATACTAGACATTGCATGAAATAAATTGACACCAATTGTCCTAACAGTTGATTCTGGGAGAAGCAGAAAAGAAGCAGTCGTCTCATTTTACACCCTTCCTCCTCAAACAGGATTGAAAACCTACTTTAAAATAGAGAAGTTGTTAGACGGCAAAGTCCCAAAAATCCCAGGAAAATAGTTTATCCACTGGAACTCAGCTCAAGCTTTCTCTTCTGTCTTCAATATTCATTTAGCTACCAAGAAATCAAAAAAATGGTTGATGCTAACTAGGATATTCGAAGGACTTGAGGAATGAAACCACAAGACAAAATAGCCTAACTACCTGTCTCAAGTAGCCCCAAAGTTAAAAGATGGAAGAACGCTTGACTGTTATCAAAAGTTTACTACAACAGACAGAAAGTGAAAGAATAAATTTAAAGACCGAAT